AGTCGCTAGCGGGTGGACGCTCCCTCCGGCCTCCCTTCCGCCGAGTTCTTAAAAGCCCTTAGTCGCAGTGGCGGGGCCGAGACTGAAACTCGTGATGAAGTCCGTGGTGGTTCTGCTGGCGCTCGCCTTCGTCTTCGCCGTCTTCAACAAGGCGGAGGGCCAGGGCCAGGGCCAGGGCGAGGGGCAAGCGAAGGCCAATGGCCCCAAAGTCACTGACAAGGTACGCTTGAAAATGTAGTTTTTGTGTATATTTTCCGTTTTGTATTTTGGGTGGAGGTTTCCCCTGGGTTGACGGGTGCTGTGCGGCCATGAGGTGCCGACTGTCAAGTGTTACTCTTGTAGCTGTTATTAAGTTATTGTTTTTTGGTGGGTTACTCAAATTGCCGACGGGCTGCTGGCGGGCCATGAATTAATGCCGACGGGACATGAATTAATGATTCATTATTCATCATTATAAGTTTTCATATTTTATTTTTTTTTTATTAACTTTTGCACCACAATACTGCTGCTCCTAATTATTTGGTTTAAAATTTCCCAAAGTAACTAGGTAAGTCCAAGGGGCTGGGCTCGTAAGTTTCTGCATTTATTTATTGTCATTATAATAGTCCAAGGCAATCTCGGCAAAGCGATCTCAGCATAGTCCGTGCTAGCCGCAGTTCCAGACCGTGGCTGTTGAGGACGCCGTCGTCATGCCAGAAGACTCCTCCAGGAATACAGGATGGTTCTCCAGTCCCCTGCTGTATTAACTATTCTTCCCTAGAAACTAGTAGGCCTACCCCTACCAGATCTTTTTTTAAAAAAGCAAACCTAAAAAATGTGATTTTGAGTTCACAGGTTCTTATCTTTAGAAGCATCCACAAATTGCAGTGAAATGAAACTTTGTATTGAGGGTGGACAAGTTAACTCCAACAGAGTCGAAGTCAAAGAGGAGTAGTCTACCGGTACTCGAATCATGCAGAGAACCTTATGTACAGTTTACGCTACTAGGCTACAAATTAGCCCGTCGGTGCCCGTCCATGGCCCATTGGCAGCCCGTCGGCAGCCCAACAGTTCCCGGCGGCGCCCGTCGGCAATTAGAGATACCGTTTTTTTGTGATCTAAGTGGTCGTGGAGTTTTAGCTTGACTTTTTTTTTTTTTTTTTTTTTTTAACCCCTTGCCGCCGGGTGACGGCGATACGCGTGTAAACAAATCGCTCGAAAGGTGGCGTGCGGCCAAACCAGCCGGCGGCGAGCCAGTGATTCGGGCTGACGCCCCGTACTCCGGCGCTCAAAGTCGGCGCGCTGCCTTTGTTTGCCAGAGCGTAGAGTTTTATTTTCCTTTTGTACACCCGGCGTCATTGGGATATACATATCTATATATATATATATATATATAATTTTTTGGTAAATGTTTATAAGGACTGCACCCGTCGGAGACCAAGTCCTGAGCTACAGCCAACAGTCTTGGGGGATCCCGTGGGGAACCGGGGATTTGGGGGGGGGGGGTGAATAGCAAGGAGATCGCTAATAAATGGCAATAATAATAAAGTTCCATGAAGTGGAAAATAATAATAAACCTAGCCTAGCCTAGCCTAGCCTAATCGCCGTATTTCTCACTAGTTTTACTGTCATCGTTTTACATACCTTAGAGTATATCTGTTATATCCGTTTGGCAGTCTGCCCCACACTTTGCACACTCGGTAGTATTTAGTATAAGGCCATGTTCTTTGCAAATGTGAATCACTTCCTCAGTTTCACCTGATTTTTTTGAGAAAAAACACACCAAATCCACTGACAGTCTTTACACCGGTTAGTCATACTTGAAACTGACCGGCTGTCAAAGTGGCCATCCTCAGTTTACGCGTGTGAAGTATGAAATTAAATCATTGTTAAAAAAATAAACAAAGGCCTTGATTGACGAAACAAGGTCAATGTGTACATATTTGTGTACTGTTTCTTTGTTGCTTGGTAACATATTGATAGGATTAAATTGCTTATGAATTGCAGAATATAATCCAATTTAGATATGTTACCGAGAGGGAGGCACCTTTAAGAGAAGTCCAAAATCCAAGATAAAACCCTAAAATCCAAACCTATACCTTCTATCCACCTTCTATTTACTCCCTAGACAAGGGGGCTGTGGCTGTGTGAGGGCGTTGTGGACTTAGTCTCGAGCGGTGACACGCGGAGGGTATTTTTGTGATTTCCCGGTAAAGACGAGGCTGCTGCAGAGATGCCTGTATTGCTTCCTACCCTATTTTTTTTATGCTCTACAAGATGGTTGGGTCTATTTCCCTCTATCTCCGTGCGTCGGTAACATCAACCCCCCTACTTGTTTTCCAATTGATATTGTGGGGCCACATAATTTTGCATTTTCAGTCTTTCAATGTTATAATGGTTGGTTAGCACTGATGGACCCTAATGCTATTTAAGAGATGTCCTAAGGCAGCGCTTCTTTAACTGTATCAATTTTAAGTCATTTTACATTGCTGACTAATGTTGTATAAACTTTCAAACTGACTGTCTGCTGTAAGTCCTTGTATTAATGCGTTTGGTATCTGCAGCTTTCATTTCTAGGTTAATGTTAGCGAGAGTTACCCGTGGGAATGGACACTATCTATTAGAGCATAAAAAAGAGGAATAAACAGATACAGCTGCTGCGGCCACCAAATTGCTACGAAATAAGTAAAACATCTGCTGCATATTGCTGTAGAGAGACGGTCCACAACACCCTCACACAGACAGAGTTCTTAACCTCGAGTGTCTTTCTATAAGTTGGCATGAAGTGCTGATAAAGGGGGGTACAGATTGTATATTTTTGCCACGAGGGAAAGATCATATTGATTTTGCATTGCTATTGAAAGCATGGCCTTTACAAATCAAGTTTTTGGTTAGTATTAGTTTTTGCTATGTTAAAAAGAAAATGATGTACTTATTCTATTTGTCATTTATTGTAAGGTGATCAAATATTTTTCCTGATTGCTCACATTATCTACAGGATTAAAGTACACACTGGCTAGGGAAACAGTTTAGGGACAAAGCCCCTATTTTGAAGAATTTTGATTCGTTTGGCAATCTTTTTGGTTGTTTGTTTAGGATGGGGGTTTAGGTTTTCATTAGTTTGAGAAAAGGGCTCATGTAAGATTTTCTGTTGTTGCTGTCCTTTCTGTTGCTAATGTTGGAATATTCTCCCCCCAACTCCCTATGAAATTAATATCCATTTATTCACTTTTTGGCATTATTTTCTCCCCCTTTATTATGTATTTGGTATGCTGGATGGATATCCAGTTTTATTTTGACCAAGAGTCCTTTAACCTGGTCTCTTGAAAGATAGTTTGTGTTCATGATGAACATTAAATTGATATAAGAAGTGGCTATAAAATTTGGTATACTAATTAATTCTTTTCCTTTACAAAAGGTCTTCTTTGACATCACCATCGGTGGCGAGCCAAAGGGACGTATTGAAATTGGACTGTTTGGAAAGACCGTACCCAATACAGCGAAGAACTTCAAGGAATTGGCAACCAGGCCTGAGGGATCTGGTTACAAGGGCTCAATCTTCCACCGTGTGATTCCTGAGTTCATGATTCAGGGTGGTGACTTTACCAAGGGAGATGGAACTGGAGGTGTGTAGTATTTTAAGTGTTGCTTTAAAATTGGGTGTTGTGAATTCCAGAGAATGTTGCTTGTGTACAATACTAGTAGACCTAGAATTACAGGATTACATTTTTCTTGTACTAGGTGTCAGCATCTACGGAGATAGGTTTGCTGATGAGAACTTCAAGCTGAAGCACTATGGAGCTGGATGGCTTTCAATGGCAAATGCTGGAAAGGACACCAATGGATCTCAGTTCTTCATCACTACTGTAAAGACCCCATGGCTGGATGGCAGGCACGTTGTATTTGGCAAAGTGCTCGCTGGCATGGTAAGTGATACGTGCATTTTTCTACTGGTCTTCATTTAATCACTGCTCACACAAGTCCAGTGCTGTCACTTTTGCACTTCCTCTGGCAAAGGCAAGCAAGCCTCCTCCATTCACAAGATAAAGCTCCCTAATGTACTGTTGAACAAGGAACCAGTCCAAGCACTAGTTGCTAAATGGGTTTAAATGTAGAAAGTGCAGAAGTGACAGAATTGCTAGGTATTGTCCTATTCTGAGCAGTAAGAAGGCAAATACCTGCCCACCATATGAATAGCTCTGGTTAAGGCTGTTTTGCATGTTAGATGGAACATCTACATCTCGCGTCAAAACTTGTATCAGTTATTAATTTTGAAGACATGATATCAAACTTTTACTGCAGCTGTGTTTTAATTTTGATTTAGTGTCTGAAGTTTATATATTTATGTAGACTACAGAAATCTTGCAACATTTAAACAGTAACTTTTAATAGTAAGATTTTATTTAACATGTAATGCCTGTCAGTGCTAGCTGGCATGTTGAATGGGCACAAAGGCAGGTATACTATTTGGTAAACAAGTAGTTTCTGGCTTCTTGCCTATGTCAATTTTACAGGTGTCCGCTCTTGTGCCTTCTAGTCATGTCCACTCATGTGGGGACAGTCTTTAGGAAAAATGCAGTTACGTGTGCTACCTTTTTAATATTTATTCTTTATTTTTTTCCCCTACCCCTAAACAGGACGTGGTAAAGGCTATTGAAGCAGTTCAAACTAGAGGTGACCGGCCCATTCAAGAGGTCAAGATTGCTGATTCTGGAGCCATACCAGTAGAAACCCCATTCAGCGTGACAAAGGAGGGTGTCCAATAATAGAAACATTCCTTTATAAAATAAAAAAGTAATGTCTCAGCACAACTGCTGCTTTGCATTTTTTTTTTCTTTCAACAAAATCGTGGGCAAAACGGTTAATATTGATAGTCGTATTGTTACTTAAAAAAAAATTACTTGTTGACAAGTAGAATGTGTTGTCTGTACTGGCTTGCAAAATTTTGTAAGTGTAATAAATTTCTACAGTAAATTCTTTATTTTTCTCCTAATATTGGTAGAGACTAGACATAAATGCCGTCTCGTTTATGAAGTTGCGAATTAAAAATACTAGATATTATCCTATCCTTTCCAGGATAATGAATTGTAAACCCATGGGTTTAATGCTGCATTGCTTTGCTTTTCTCAAATCTTTTTTTGGCATTAAATTTCCTAGACAAGAGGCTCCAGTTTAATGGTGATGCTTTACCTCCATAATCTTCAGTATTAGTTTTGAATTAAATGGCTCTTAAACATTTGGAAAGGAGCATTGTCTGTAAATTTTTAAAGTTCATTTTATTGTTTGGGAGTATAAATGATCATTTCTATAAAGTGGTAAAAATGTTTTCTAAAGTAACCTTTTAATTAAGGAAAGTCCAAACGAATTGTCTGCTGGGCTATCTAGTTGGCAGGTAAAGTCTGCCGGGCTTCCCCATGAATACTGTCCACATGGCTGAGTTGATGAATAGGTGGGTGGGCCCTACAATACCTGTAACATATTGAAGTGTGGATAAATAAGCATGGTATTGGTTGAATATTCTGTAAACTTGGAATTAAGTTGAATTCAACAGGTTTGTATATGCTTTTGATCAGTAAATACTTGGTAGCTTAATGGGCACCCATTGCAAGTAACTGATGTGAAGTGTGACAATGGTGTCAGAAGTACTGTTAACCCAATGGCGCCGGGTGTACAAAAAGAAAAAAAAACTATGCTCTAGCAAACAAAGGCGGCGTGCCGAATTTGAGCGCGAGTATGGGACATCAGCCCGAATCACTGGCTCGCCATGCTTTGGTGCACTGCCGCGGCATTTGGCTGCACGCCAGCTTTTGAGCGGTTTGTTTGCACACCGATCGGCGTCACCTGGCACCAAGGGGTTAACTTTGTACCTGCCGAGTCGAAGCCTGAGTTGCCAGGCACTGACCGGTGAATTTGCTCGTCAAATGTGCCCATTAACTGGCATGCCTGCTGATCAGGCCTGCTCATCAGGACATGCCTTCAGGCTACATGTGCACTTAAAGTAACAAGTGCTGTTTAGTGAACCTAGATCCAGGAACATTTAAAAAATAGGATCAAGCCATGCCTATAGTCTACCAGAAATAGGGGTCATGGTCACAACTAGTGATCTGATGGACAGGATTGACACATTTTGATTGTCTGAGACAATTACCTTGTTTTCATATTTTGGGTAATCTTTGGCATTGATGATACAGTACTGGTCCCTGTCTGTTGAACTGGCTCAAGCTCCTATATGGGCACTGCTTTTTTTTCCTTGTACACAAGCAGTCTCAATAGGCAAACTACTCACTTTGCCCATAGGCTCCCCCTTATCCCTTGCTGCTTGTTGTTGTAGGGGTTTAGAAGACAGACTGATCCGCAATGTAGGGGATCACTACTTTGGACCTCGGCCCTTGCCTTGACTAATTTTGCATGGTTGTCTTCTCCGCCTTTTCTTTCCTTTCCACTTTATCATCCATCCCTTCTGTCCACTTCCTTAGATGTGAGAGCCATGCTGAAAGGATGAAAGGCTGGCTTTGTGTCAGTCATGAACAGCCTTTGGGAACCATGGCCACGATATTCCTTTGGTTAAATGTCTAGCCCTTGCCCCTCATGGGGACCCTGAGGGATAGACCGTTTCCTTTCTCAATTTATTTCGGGCTTACCATGGCCAATAATGTTTCACCCTTATTAGAGGCATTAAGGCTTTGCCCCTTCATCAACTAGCCTATCTAAATTTGATTTCGTTGGTTTCCCAACCCTTGCCTCTCCTTTGACCTTGCCTCTGACTGATACTAATACCCTCTTGATGATTGCAGTCAACCCTATCCATTCTGAATTATCCACCCAGCTTACTCCTCCTTCAGAATATACCCCTTCCTCTCTTCCAACATCCTCCACTCCATCTTCTACTGCACATTATTATTCTTCATTGTCTACCTCCACCCTCCTTATTACTACTATGCATCCTTATATTCTGACAAACCTCGCTCCTCCCTTAATACTTGTACTGGAACTGTTTCCGTCTCTCCAACTGATTGTCCTGTCTGCGACAAGGACTGGTCAGACTGAAAACAACCTACTCACTTGCATCGTCAACTATGATGCAGTGACTGTCCAGTTCAACACTACATCAATGCTGAGGTTTTGCTTTTTACCTATTCCAACCCCCCCCCCCCCCCATCCCTTGTTGTGGTGGGGGCTTAGGAGATGGGGACGGCCCCAATGCCTTGGTCCTCAGCCCTTGTCTCAACTAATTTTGCATGGTCTTTTCTTCTTTCATTTTCCTTTTCTTCATCCCCTTGTTCTGTCTACTTATCCTAATTTTTAAACTCATTTTTGCTTCCTACTCCCTTAACTCCTTCCCCCTCTAACCTTTACCTTACACTGTACCCCATCAGCTCCCCCTCTCTACCCTACCTACTAGTACTGTTCAACCTATAACTTTACCCAAATCATTAACTTGTTCCTAACCCTTTTTGCAAATAATTTACCATAGTGCCTTATGATCTTTGATATCATATAGCCCTTCCTTACCTTGGGGCTTTTGTCCCCAAGCCTCGTGCTATCACTATTTTGAATACACTGCTAATGACCTTAGATGTTCACATGGCAGAAAATTTTAAATAAATAAATAAATTTTCCAAAAATATACTTCACTCTCCTCCCCTCCCATCTCAAGAAGTCTCAGCATCTCTTCCCTCTAACTAAAACCAACCTATCTCTACTACCTCTCTCCCCCAATTAAATTCCTTTTCCAGTCTAAATCCAGATACTCCAATCTCTACCACTTCCTTGGTGCCTATGTCCACCCCCCCTTTCTCACTCTACCTATTGTACCAGACAGTCTAAACATTACACTGCATCATCTACCACACCCTCTCCTACACCCACCTCTCCCTCTGCTCTTCGGACATCTATTCCCTCTCCTCTACGTAAGAATACCTTTGTTTCTCAGACCTCCCTACCCAACTCCCCTCCAGAAACTCTTGACCTCCAAAAGTTCATAAACATGACTCGAGAGAATGATCCGCTCCCTCATCGACCCCCTAATCCCCTTATTGGTCCTCAGCCTTTTCTTCTCCTTTCCTTTTCCTTTTCTTGGTCCCCTAGTTCTGTCCACTGATCCTAATCCTTAACTTATTTTTGCTGTTTTCATCACAATACTTTGTCATAATGTTCCCTACTCCCTTAGCTCCTTCCTCTTCTAACAAGCTTTACCTTATACTGTACCCTATCAGCTCCCCCTTTCTACCCTTTTCACTACCATACTATCCTCTAGTATTGCTAATCCTGTAGCTTTAACCTTCACTTTAACTCATTCTGAACCCTATTATACTTTACCATAGTGCCATATGACCTTTGATGCCCTTAAGCTTCATGCCATCACTATTTTTTGAATATATAAGTGTCAATAAATAATTCCTCAGACACATATTCTCCATTTGATCTGATAGCCCTATATCTTAAATCACATTCTTTTACAATCCTTACTGTATTCCATTTGCTCCCCCTCCATACCCTTTTCACTAATATTCTATCCTACAGTGTTCTACAACCTTTGACATCTAATACATCTTTTTGTGATCATTAACTCCTTTCCACCCTTTTTGCCACAATATTTTAACATAGTTCTATATGACCTTTGATGTCTAGCACATTTATTTCTTCTAACCCTTAACCATTACCCGTAGGCACTGCTATATATTACTCAAAATTGTTTGCCAAGTCATCAATCATGTTATTAGTGGCACATTCAAATTATAGAGATAGTGTGGAGCTCAGGGGTAAAGTCCCCAGGTAAGGAAGTTTTTTTTTTGTTCAATAAGGTGATGTTTGTGGATTTTTGAAATGGTTAATGTTCAAAATGAGTAAATGTGGTGAAAAGGGAAAAAATGAGGTAATTTTTAGGATGAGCGGGTACGAGGAGCAAGGGATTGGAGGCACATAGGCACTGCTATGCCACATGAACAGGGATTTATACATTACTCTTTATCTAGCCATTGATGTGGTTGATGATTCTAAATCTATATCTATACCCATATTCAGGAGTAACTCTCCAAGACTGACAAAACTAGGTTACAGGATAATGATTGCACAGTTGTTGAAGGGAAGTAGAAATGTGGATGGCTATGTTCCTGTTGTCTGACCATTCCCATAAATATTAAAGGTGTTTTTCATGTAAAAGCAAATATACTGGTATCTGCACTACTTATCAAGTCAAACAGAGGTGACCTTTCATTCTTTATTGAAATTTTGGGATTGTATTAACATTTTCAACAATAAGGATATTACAATATACTACATTATTTACATTATTATTGCACGGTGAAAAAAACAGGGTAAGATACAAAGAGTGGAATAAGAATGAACAAGTCATACCACATTGAACCAATTTAATATTTTGTTTTACTGACAATACATCAAATTGGCAAACTGTGCCTTAACTCTCTTTCTCATTCGAACATTCACCAATTTATCACCATGACGTTTATCCAGAGACATACATACAGGCAGTGTTGTACATTGTATAAAGTATGCAAATAAGTGTTTACCTGATGCACTCCTTTTTACAAACTAAATATCTGTCACTGTTCAAGCTGCATTCTGAAATTTTCATTCTCTCTCCATCAGTCCTTTTCTATTCTGAGCGTACTTCTGCGGGTGTCTCTTGGTCTTGCTATTTCTGTAAAAGGATGCTGCAAGCATTGCCTTATCCTGTTTCTCATTTGATTTAAAGACATCAATGGGTTCAGTTATGTATCTGTCTAAGCTCTGTTGGAGAAAATAGGATTATTATATTAGTAAAACCAAGTTTGCGCAGGCCATTTAGTTACTGAGGTAAGAATTGGCTTTCTTTTAAATTTAGTATGCCAGACTTTTTGCACTGAATAATTATTCACTGTTAAAAGTTGTGTTGTGGCACTGTTGAAACTCTTCCCTATTTTTTCATATAAACAAGTTATATTATTTTTGAAAGTCTTCCAGAAAATACATATACATAAATATGACAAAAAAGATCACATTGTTTATCACATTGACTTACATTTTCTGTTATATGATGATTTTCCTCTAAACTCCTGAGTAGGTGTTTAAATTCTGCAATAAGTTCTTTATCACTGGTTTTCTGCACTGCTGCCTCTACAGCTTCAATCTGTAACAGAAGTCATTATATTTCTATATACTTACACCCAACTTGTTTACTTCTGAGAAAAAAAAAAATAAATATATAAAATAAAAATTCAAAGAACATAAATTTGTGGTACAAAATGTAGCAGACAGTTATATTGTTGATTAATTTTTGGTGTAGCTGTTGTGTCCAATGCAATAGTGGACGTTTCAGAAAATTTAATAATGCTATTCTATCCAAGATGTAAGATTGATATAAAACACATACATGACAAATACCATACAATATCCAATATAGACAAAACATACAGGATGACTTATCTAATACCCACTGTAGTTTTTAGTGAATTTTGTTACAAACAGATGGCTCCACATGTGCTCAGCGAGGAAAGGATTTTTTTTTTTTTTTAATACTGTGAACATCAATACTAATCTGTGTTATATATGCCATTTCTCGATAGGTCCCACTGTGCATCAATAGTCACTCATTATAAGCTCTCCTAATTAAAGCAAAAGTAATTATGATACTTTTTTTAACTGCTCAGATTTCTCATAAATATCAGTACACTGGTCAAGCTACATTAAAATTAGCTGAATATCAGTGATAATCTCTCTAAATTCAGGTACTAACACCTTTGCCAAGGGATATTTGTACATCAAATGAATGGTGTGGAACATATGGTATTCTGGTTTCTAATGAACATGTCCTCACTTTATTAGCTACCATATATATCATATTCTAAAGTTTCTGACTGAAACACCCCTCTTTTCTTATCTGTACCTATGTCAGCATCTTTGTCCACTCTGGGTGAGAAAATACTCTGAAACCTTAAATTATTCAGCTCCCATTTATGATCTCTGTAGTATCATATCTTTTGGATTGCTTTTCACCCAATGGCGCCAGGGAAAATTAATAAAAAATGGGGGAAATGCTGTCCTCATTTTTTATATTTTTTGTGAAATGCCTCTGCGCATAGATGGCTCTGCTAGTGCTTAGCCATAAAGGAGTCAACTAGTAGACTTTGTGACCTTACTTGATTTGAATTAGCAGGAAAAACGTATTTTTTATTAGTGCTATGAATATTGATGGTGTTAATATTATTATAAACATAATTACTATAATGCAATAAACATTAGTAACAGCAAAATAAGATAAAGTAAAATATTTTTGTAAATCAAAGAAAAGGGTAAATGGGCAAGACAGGCAGTACTCCTAATTGGCTCATAGGCCATAGAAGTACAAGTGTAGCCATCTATGTGTAAAAACAATTAAACAAGTAAACTCACAGTGGGCCTGTCAATTTATATAATAGAAAAGAAATTCCCTACCGTTTCCCTGAGTATGTATGATTTCTTTCCGGGCTTGCTGTTGTCTGGGATATCAATCTGCACGACACCCCGGAGGATAGGAAGGGTTTCTTCTACGCGAGAGGTCTCCACCAGGGCCAGAATCTGACAAGAAGAAAAATATATTGGTGTATTTCAGGAAATAAATTGGTGAAAATCAGCAAGTTAATATATTTCAGGGTAAAAAATTATTTTTGCAAATAAAAATCCTTTTCGAGAGAGAGAGAGAGAGAGAGAGAGAGAGAGAGAGAGAGAGAGAGAGAGAGAGAGAGAGAGAGAGAGAGAGAGAGAGAGAGAGAGAGATATTCTGGGACCAAGTTCATTTTCAATGTCCCAGCACAATGAATTATAAAATATGGAAGAAGAAAGAGAGAAAAAGAAAGAAAGAAAGAAAAGATCAAAATCAAGCAAAACTTCTTTGATTTTCAAGGAATTTTGTTATCTAAGGATATTCCCATCAATGCTGACACTTACTCGCAGATTACGGATAGCAACATGGGAGACATTCCGTGCTTTGGCCAAGTATTCAAGGCTAATGTGCGGATGATTTTGCCTTAGGGCAAGAGCTGCTATGAAGATGAGACATCTGCGGTTAACAGAAATGCCAGACTCCTCGGCCTCCTTCATAAAATCCAACACCGTTCTTAAGCTCTCTTGACTGTTCTGCAGGAGCAAGGAAAAAAGTTTTAGATGTACCTTTGATGCTTATTAGTAAAGAATTCATCAGGAATAAAAATGAAACCTCTTACTGGTTATTTAACTTTTAGTTATAACTCAAATCTTTATAGATGACTAACACCCTTATATTCCTACTCATTAAAACATTTTATAAATTGATCATATGTATTGTACACGCATGCATGCACTCACTCACTCACTCACACACACACACACACAAAAAACGAACAAATAAAATAAAAGACTCCTCCAACCTTTCTCTGCCACCACAATATCATACCATCTTATAACATGTTGCAATGACGATCATGAAGCAATTTTTGGGGAATTTGGTTCCTTGTAGTCGCTTATTCTGCAGGTCTCTAAAAACATCAATGACATCTTCGTACCTC